TGCCTCGCCGCTTCGAACATCCACTGAGACGTAGGCGACCCCCCTGGTTGCTGGTATAGTGATGATGGTGGTTGTGGTGGGGGGGGGGGGTAGTGGTGCGCGCTGGTCGATGTTGTTTCGAATCACCTGGTCGTGCGCCAGCTGCCGCCTGTCCCCTGCGGAATCCAAACTCACCACGGTGTGCACGAGCCGGAGCGAGCGTCTCGCATCCGGCTCGCAGCACGGAGGAATGAATGTCAAACGCGGCGCGCACCATTTTCCCCCCACCCCCAAACGCCCCCACCACCACCGCCAACCCTCCCCAACCCTCCCCAACCCCAGCCCTTACTCCGCTAACCACGTCAAAATAATCCTGCAAGAGGAATAAATAGCGACAGCGATAAATATAAAGCTGACCCACTGGATGTATTGTCCTGTCTTTTTTTCCCCATGACCTTCCTTCCACACATCCCCACAAAAGAACCTTCCTGAAAGCACTGCACCACCTTCCTGCGACAACAACCGTGTGCGGACGAGCAAAATATATTTAGCAAAATCACAAACGTAAACATTTCCCCACGCGCGCCATGAGAATCCCCCCACCTCGGCCACGGCAGTTCGGCCAGCAAAGCAGAACTGCAAAATGCAGATCTCAAGTTTTGAGCAGCGGAGCGCTTACCGAACAATGGATGGGCGCGCACGGCGGTCTGCGAATCTCAAGGCTTTTATAGTTCGGTAACGACTAAGTAGAGTGGCGGCTGGCTGTTGTTATCAGCCTGCTGCACACAATCGCGCACGGCAGGGGCAGGCGGACCATGTGACTGGGCTGTACAAATTGCGAGCGGGGTGGATATAACACCGGGCGCTCGCAGTAAGCCGAGCAGCGGCAGAAGCAGCAGCAGCACCACCTCCTCGACATGATCAATCTATCCCTCTGCTTATCAGACAGACCCAATCCCACACCACCACCATCACCACAAAAAAAAACAATTTCATTGTCTGATCCAGTCGGTCGCCTTCTCCATCATCAATAGGATGGATGATGCGAAAACAATGAACACCTACATCACTACACATGCACCAGCTGCTTTAAGATACATCATTTGCCGCTTACAACTCCGATTCGTTTGTATTTATTTATACGTCCGAATTCCTGCATTTTTGCATCGTAAATATGAACACCAGCCGCCCATGCAGGCACGCTGGGCACGCGAGAGATGTATCTCCGTTTGGTATCCGAACCCAAAGAAAAGACGCATCATCGCTGTCGTACGAATACCTGTTGTTTCGCGGCCACCGTCGTCGGCGGTGAAACGAATTGCGCTCAGCTGTGCTTCCTTCTGTTAATGCCAGACACCCTCGGCACTCTTGACTCATGCCTCCTGCATGCTAACGTTCCGCTCCTCCCCAGCCGCTCCGGCTCCGTCCACCGCCTCCGCTGCTGCCACATGCCCAGGGGCCGGTCAGTTATTCTTCCAGAACTGTCTCGTTTTAACGGATTTGTGCGAGAGGGGGGACGGTGGGTGTGGGGAGCGAGGCAGTGGGGGAATGGGGGGGGGCGCGGGAGGGAGGGGAGTGCGGCTCAGGCAAGGCACGGATCAAACCGGGTCGAATTATAGGGGTCGAATTATTATTCATGATCACGGCTACGACGTAAATATTCCCCTACATCACTAAACGTAAATCAATCAATCGATCAAGGCCATTTCGTTTATTTACAAGCTGGTGGGAATCCACTGATGTGCAATAGGTCACCTGGCAAGGGGAGGCTCGAGCTCACGTAGAGCGCAGCAATGCCGGGAGTGAGAACCATAAATACCAATCAGCCTGACAGTCCGGTTAACAATCGTGATCACATGCACGCGCGCCGTGATGACATTTCCTAAATTTGCACACTACGTCTCTTCACGTCTATTGCAATAAAAATAATATCTAGTTCTAACGTGCTGCAGCCACAGGATGTTAATTACAGGCTGTTTGTGCGGTTCGCAGTGTGTGTGCATGCGTATCTTTGGTTTTGTTTAACGTCTTGTTCGCCAGACTGGCCAAGCGCCCGGGTTTAAACACTACGCGAGCCTTCGGAGGCCTAATGGAATATCCTGTATAAATATTTTACAAGGGGAGACGTCAAGGAGCTAAAACAAACCCTGCCTCGCACCCGCGGCTGGACAGGGGCAATATTTCAGGCACGCACACACGCACGCACGCACCCGCGCGCCGCCCCACGAAAATGTGCACGGACTCCGAGCCAGCGCCGCTACGCCGTCGGCTGCTCCAGGTGGAGCCCGGCGGCCGTGGTGGCAGGTTCAGAGGTCGTGTGACGCGTGACGCGCGACGGGGGTCCCGGAGGAGAGAGGAGACGGGACAGCGGCGGTCGCACGGGATGAGTGCCGATATTGCTCGTGGAATGTGCGCAGCCAAGCACCGTTGAGTCATCAGCAAATTCCGCGGCTTTGTTGCAACAATTTGTATTTGTCTTGGACCACCAATTTTCATTTGCTCGTTCACTGACTCGCGCATTCATTCAGTGAATTATCTACAGTGAACATTTTTTTACTCATCGTCATTAAGCGTCATTTGTGAGAAAACAAAAGCGGTGTTGGCACCATGCTGGCCTTAATAAGTGAGTGCTAACAGCACTTGCCATAATAGCGTCTATGCATACATGGCAGACCATTGCATGTTTTCGTAGGTCGTGTGTGTTTGTGTGTAACCACATTTTTTAAATAGCAGGGAGCAGTAGTGTAGCGGTTAGCGCGCTACGCTACGAACCCGGCAATCTGTGATTAATTCCCGCTCACGGCCAACACCAGTGATGATTATCGGAACCGGTCCTGGGCCTCCCCTAGGTCGACTCAACCTCAAATGAGTACCTGGTGTAAACATATTCTTTGGGTCTTTCGGTGAATCCACGTAGATAGAAACAATAATCAAAATAATAACAATACCACGATGTTTTGATCGCAACACAAGCAATCAACTTTAGGTGAAACGTCGCCAACCCGCAACTCACCAGTGTGGTGAATTATGGCCAAATAACCCTCACTGCTTGCATGGCGTGGGGAGCCCTCATACTGAAGTGGATTAATATAGGGTTGCAGATGTTATGTATCATACCAGATATATATTTAGTTTGGGCTACATCTTCTTTGGAATAGGAAAGACAAGGCAAGCACAAGCAGTACCTCAGCGTTCCAAAGAGAACAGTGAGGAGGAAGACACTGGAAGATTTATTGAAGAGCGTAGCGGGCTATGGCAGTGAAACATGGGCACCGTGGATTAGTGAGATAAAAACATTTTTCATGCATTTGAGATTTTGTGATACTGAAGAATTGAGAAAATGAGCTTGCGCGATAAGGAGACCTCCAATTAGCACGGTTGGCTACGTATGGTGCGAAAGCAGTTCAACATACATACGTGTAAGACGGAGAATGAAGATGTGCTGGAAGAGATTGGCAACAGACAGGAGTTATTGAGAATGTCTAATGAGAAGGAAGGTGGTGTTCATGGGGGATACCCCAAGAGGCCCAACAGCTGGAGATTTGACAAAGATGATTACGCAAGGGAGAATGTAAGAAGGGAAGAGGCGACGAGGAAGGAAACGGATCACCCGGTGACACAGGGTGAGACAGTTAGTGGGACAGGGTGAGACAGTTAGTGGGACAGGGTGAGACAGTTAGTGGGACAGGGTGAGACAGTTAGTGGGACAGGGTGAGACAGTTAGTGGGACAGGGTGAGACAGTTAGTGGGACAGGGTGAGACAGTTAGTGGGACAGGGTGAGACAGTTAGTGGGACAGGGTGAGACAGTTAGTGGGACAGGGTGAGACAGTTAGTGGGACAGGGTGGGACAGTTAGTGAGACAGGGTGAGACAGTTAGTGGGACAGGGTGAGACAGTTAGTGGGACAGGGTGAGACAGATGGTGGGACAGGGTGAGACAAATGGGGGGACAGGGTGAGACAGTGGGACAGGGTGAGACAGATGGTGGGACAGGGTGAGACAGATGGAGGGACAGGGTGAGACAGTGGGACAGGGTGAGACAGATGGTGGGACAAGGTGAGACAGTTAGTGGGACAGGGTGAGACAGTTAGTGGGACAGGGTGAGACAGTGGGACAGGGTGAGACAGATGGTGGGACAGGGTGAGACAGTGGGACAGGGTGAGACAGATGGTGGGACAGGGTGAGACAGATGGTGGGACAGGGTGAGACAGTGGGACAGGGTGAGACAGATGGTGGGACAGGGTGAGACAGTTAGTGGGACAAGGTGGGACAGTTAGTGGGACAGGGTGAGACAGATGGTGGGACAGGGTGAGACAGATGGTGGGACAGGGTGAGACAGATGGTGGGACAGGGTGAGACAATTGGTGGGATTTTCCATGAGAGACGCTGAGAATCGCAAACTATGGAAAGCATCGGTCATGGTCATCAACCCTCAGTAATGAGAATGGCAGCAGGACAGACGGAAACAAAATTCAACACATTCGTCAATAACACTGTGGCGTTAAAAGAAAATAGAAAAAAAAATCGTCGACGTTCAAGGTAACGGCCATTCTCCATAGCACGTAACTGAGAGGCTTAAACGATAGTGCTCATAAGAGTTGGAGACTGCACTTATCACCATTCTATTTTAACAATGTTTTATTATGATCCGTTTTTAAATAAGCATATGAATAGTTACCTAATAGTAGCCATTGAGTAAGAGTCGTCAAACCCTTAAAAAAAGTATGAAGTATTTCTAATTAAACTCATTTATGTTAAATGTAATATTCTAAAACGCGACTGGCACCAGACAGATAATAGATGACATTGGCGCAGTGTATGTATGGATGTATGTGGAACTTCTTTTGTACCGTATATACGTAGCCAACCGTGCTAATCGAAGGTGCGAAGGGAAGGACAAAAAACTAAACACACAAAGAGCAGTTCTAAAGAAATTCGTTTTCAATCTGGAGTGGCAGTAGCTGGCGAAGTGGATAAAGGCAGGCAACCGGGAGGGGGAGGGAGCGTGGGGCTGGCACTCACAGGGCACGGTGCGCAGGTAGAGGTTGTCACGGATCGTCTGCTGCAGCTCGTGGTCCACGGAACCCTTCTGGAAGCGCTGGTTGAGGTAGAGCCGCAGGTCCTTGGTGAGCGCTCCACCTGGAGAACGGCGGAGGTGGGTATGGGGAGGGGGCATCGCGATATCATCGTGGGCGCGTGGGTAACGCGGCGGGGTCACGCACACGCAGGGGGCACAAAATGTTTTTTTTTTGCAATAGCAGGCCGAGGCTTTGTCTCCAGAACTGTCTGACCCAAGTTTGTAGCTCTGTTCGTGAGAAAGCATGACAGAGTGAATGCCAGCAAAGCCCTTGCAGTTGTGGCACACGCACGCACACCTACATCCATCGATGTGGCCAAATATCTCAATGTAGGACTCCTCCTGAAAACAAGTCTTAAGAGTGATTGAATCTTCACGACGTAAAGAATAGGCATTATGATTATGAAAAAATGCTGTAAAAAACACTACAGCAGTCATATAAACCCTAAATATCCGGCATAGATGGGTTGCCACGAGGTAAGAGTTGCATGTTGGCTTATTAATGTACAACCTTGTTGTCAATCCACTGCTGGATGAGGGCTTCCCCATGCTGCGGGGTCCGTGGAAATTGTTTTACCATACCTCACCACGCTGGTCAGTGCGGGTCGGTGGAGTCAGGGAGCACGGCACAACCGTGGATTTCCCTGCGCCGCCTTCTGTTGCCCACAACGTGGCGCTGCAGCCTATAACACCTGTTACGCACGCCGGTCGCCCGCCCATAATGCTATCCAGGCTCAACGCTTGACTTGTATCTTCTTTAATTCACCGTTTACCTGATTGGAACATTATCCGGTTACCTGATCAATGGCTGCGGTAGCACTAAGTGATAAATTAACTTCCACCAGAGGGTGCTGCACTGACTGAGGGGCTTGAGACGCTTACAGGAGGCAGCTGCGAGGGACTTAGGAGGCTGTGCGAGCGTGAAACGGATTAGTGTCCATTAAGCCCACTAAAGGTGACTGCATGGATACATGAATGACTGAATGAATTAATTGGTGTGTATTTCCCATGCTCCCCAGATTAATGTGCCTATATATATGCGCGGCCCTTTCCGTCAATCCAATGTTGGAACAGAGCCCTCCACATGCAGTGCGGGCCTTGGGGGGGTATTACTTGACCACAAGTTCCCATATAGGCCGGTGGAGGTTGGTGCAGGTGGTGAACGTAGACGTAGGGTAGAACAGTGGATTTATTTTTTGGATTTTGGCGAAAAAATGTTTTCCCAAATTGCATCTCCACTCCGCAATGAAACCTACTGCATATACACTTTTTATTGTTTTGTGTAACTTACATTTATTGATGTAATGTTTATATTCACGCGTGAAGCGCTCTATGACAATTTCATTGTGAAGGGCACTAGAATAAATAAAGTACCATTCATTGATTGGTAAAAACAGCTTGTTTTTAAACCTTAATGTCATCACATTAAACATGGCTACATTACTCTATTGAAACAAACCCAATGCCAATAAGTATAAAGTGGATTCATATCCCTTGATTAAGAATGGTTTCATTGTAAACAAAACATTATTTAATTTTACCAGGTAAAACCGACTGAGCTCTATAGCTGTTTTTAAGATGCGACCTGGCCACAAATGATAGCTCAACGAAGTGGCTTATCATGTGGAAACTTATAGCAGCCACATACTCGAACCGCATGTTTCTAAATATAGGGAAAACATGCAAACTCAAAATATACAGGCATCAAGGTCAGGATCCAACCCACGACCTCCTGTATGCCAGGTAAGGTAGTTAACATCTCGCCAATTCGGTGACCATTGGAAGAAGGCTTCATGAATATAACAGAGGTCCAATGTGTTTTTTTAAATTATTGCCAATACATACGCGTGTAGACTTTGACTTTGTCACTGATGAGGATTCTAAAGATGTTCTAGAAGGACTTGGAAGCTGAACTGTTTCACAGAAATAGTCATGTCTATGCTGAAAAGGAGACAAATCCAAAAACCTGAATGTTTGAATTTGTGCCTCAAATCGTTACTTTATGGAGGTTGAGTGTTTTCACTTATAAGGCAAGATTAAATTTCGATTTAAAGCTTTCGTGACTGCAGGGATTCATCTTCTTGGTTCTTTCGGTAAAGTCACGAAGAATGGAAATAAAATAATAAAAATAATGCATAATAAAATAAAATTCTCACGACGTTTCGGCCACAACACAAGTATCCTTCTTCATGTGAAGAAACAGGACTGTCCAGAAGACAGCGCTTGAGTGAACACTGCCAAGCATGGACCGCGTCTTTTAAGCTGTGTGGGCGGAGTTAACAAATTAATTAGCATATTACCCAGCCCCCCCTCCGGAGCAGAGGAGGGTGCCGGCTGGGCACACAGAAAAATACCGAAGCAGAACAGCCAAGGTACGCTGCTCTGTCCTGTGTTGCATTATAATTATGCTATAAACTGGACTACTATACAATACAATAGTATACCTTCCAATCTAAACTACATGGTATAATATCATATCCATAGACAAATTCCACCTTTGAATTATACAATGCGTTACTATACACTACCCTATACTTTAAACTATAAAATATTAGACTTGTAACATTACACTGTCTTATTCTATAAACCCAACTATATACCACACTGCTGTATATTCACTATGCAATTACGATACTATTTATTGCCTTATTAATTATGGTAAACATTAGAATATTATACTATTTATTATTATACCACATGCTATAAACCATACCATTGACCGTGGTGTGAAAGGTATTAAGAGGCAGTGCCTCTTACACCACGGTCAATGGTATGGTTTATAGCATGTGGTATAATAATAAATAGTATAACATTGTAATGGTTAAAATAATTCATAAGGCAATAAATAGTATCGTAATTGCATAGTGAATATACAGCAGTGTGGTATATAGTTGGGTTTATAGAATAAGACAGTGTAATGTTACAAGTCTAATATTTTATAGTTTAAAGTATAGGGTAGTGTATAGTAACGCATTGTATAATTCAAAGGTGGAATTTGTCTATGGATATGATATTATACCATGTAGTTTAGATTGGATGGTGTAATATTGTATAGTAGTCCAGTTTATAGCATAGTTATAATGCAACACAGGACAGAGCAGCGTACCTTGGCTGTTCTGCTTCGGTATTTTTCTGTGTGCCCAGCCGGCACCCTCCTCCGCTCCGGAGGTGGTGCTGGGTGACATGCTAATTCATATGTTAACTCCGCCCACACAGCTTAAAAAACGCGGTCCATGCTTGGCAGTGTTCACTCAAGCGCTGTCTTCTGAACAGTCCTGCTTCTTCACCTGAAGAAGGCTACTTGTGTTGTGGCCGAAACGTCGTGAGAATTTTATTTTATTATGCATTATTTTTATTATTTTATTTCCATTCTACATGACTTTACCGAAAGAACCAAGAAAAGGCAAGATTAGCCAAAGGTTTTAAATTCTACAAGCTAAACACAAATATACGACCCCCATTGCATGTATGTTGAATGTCTTTCGCACTGAACGTAGCCAACCGTGCTATCAGTGACCCACTGTAATTAATCTCCAGTTGAGTACGCCAGCAGATAGAAGTGGACCAAGTCTGCTAGTGTTATTAGTTCCCTAATGACTGACGCGGGATGGGGAAACCGTCATCCAGCAGTGGATTGACAGAGGCTGTGAATTGTTGAGATTTTTTTTATTGTATTCAGTGATTAATGAGTTGACATTTGAAGGTGCACAGTGCTCATCCACACAAGTCGTGCACTCTGCTCTGTTGTTTATTTCTGTGTCCGGCAACAATTCACTCAAGAGTGGTTTCCTGCTTAGGCAGAGTGGGGTGGAAATCGTCTCTCGTTTACAGCCACCGGAGCCAGCCGTGGAAATTCCTCATTGCAATGGCAGGGGCACATTCGATCCAAAGGGTAACCGCTGTTCACTTCATGAAAAGTGGTACTTATTTTACTGACCTCGGAGAGATGAATGGCCAAGTTCAAGCCTGGCCAGGATTGAGAATTTTGAACTCGCAGCTATCAGGTTAGTGAACCGCTCACCACCGATGTTATCAACAGCCAGTATCGAAACTCAGTTTGCCGGGTTCATAAGACAATGCGCTAACTGCTATGCTATCACACCACCCATAATTATGTGGTTGACCATAACTTACAAATACAATTTTGTTCTATCATTAATGATGCTTCAAACGCACTCAGCTCGCGGACACACGGCCTGAGTGCACATCAGGAATACAAGGGCTGCTTGTTATTCTGTCTCGAGTCGCCCCGCAATTCAAACAGAATGTGGAGAGGACACCAGATATTGTCCAAGGCGAGGCTCCTCCACGCGATCGCCCGCGCCACAAAATCCCACGACCGCTGCTCGCTAATGCCGTAACGGCCCCGCAAGCGCCGCTAATAACGGGCGGATAAACGACCCCCCAGGGACGACGAAACGCACCCGCACGCTCGCTCGCTTTGCTCCCCGACAGATGTTATTGCTGTTGCCACCACCGCTGCTGCTGCTGCGGTGTGGTTAAGCCATCTTACGTTTTGCACGGAGAAACAGGGGTAAGCGGAGACAACGGCGTGTGGGTTGAGCCAGCTCGACTCGGAACCATGTCAAAAAACATCCAGCCCAGCCCCACTCGCTCGCTCACTCACTCACATCCAGGAAGTCCAGCATCCAGGAAATTGAAGCTAAAAACCAAACAAATACGGTATATTTTTAAAACATTGTTTTCAATAGTTCGCTCAACAACTGGCTGTGTTAAGAATGTTTGACTAGTATTCAGAAGGGTGCGAGTTTAAATCCTGGGCAGGAGGGATTTTCTTTGACCTCCGTCTTCTCCAGTGTACTGTATGAAGTCAAACGTGGTTGTTTTACTGACCCCCTGCCATATGAATGTGGAATTTCCCCAACAGGCGCATGACTGGAATTGTAGACGATTGTTTCCACATACTTGTTTGAGCTAGAAGACACTTTCCGTCTTTGTTTCCTCATGGCAGAGTTTCCCAAACGACACTGCTTGTCACTACCACTGTACGGCTTTCCGCGTCAACCACATTTCAAATACAATTGAAAAAAATTAATGCTAC